TGCGACCCCGTCAGCTTCGCCCCGCGCGGCCTCTCGGGCGGCCCGCTCCTCCCGTCTTGGACGGGTTTGGTTCCCCAGGCACCCCAGAACCGCCTCCGCCGGCTCCCTGCCTTCAGTTCGCCTGTGCTCTCGGTCGTGTCATCATCCGCCGGTTGCTCGCAGTGCGTGTGGCCGTATGGAGTCGTCTCCTTCCCGTATGGCAGTGACTAGCGTGGTCTTATCTTGTGCCGGGATTTAGTGCGCGTTTATTGAATAAAGGTTGCCCCAGCCGGCCCAGCACTTCTCCCTGCTCAGCTCAGTCCCTGCTGAGCCTGGGGGTTAGGGCCCCCACTCTGCCTTCAGTGGGGATGGAGGAGGAGAGTCCCCCAGGAGCATCTGGGAGTGGGGCACCCTGTGTTTGAGGGCTCAGGACACCAGCCCTGGGGTGACAGGTGTCAGGCATGGCTCCTCCTCTAGATGGCTGTGACCTTGAGCAGCCCTTCATCTTTCCTCATTTGTGAAAACGACAAAGCCCGTGGACCAGAAAGCATTCTTCATGAGAGGAAGGGTTCGGCTCTTCTTTACTGCAGGATGCTCGGTTGCTGTCCAGCGGAACATTTGAGTCCTGTGCTTGCTCCTAGGGGACAAGTGGTTAGACGTGGTCTCTGTCCCAGGAAAGCGTGTGGGAGACAGCCGTGGAAGGAATGCTATGTGGAAGCAGTTCTAAGAGAACCAGGCGGTGGGACAGAGCAAACTCGATGAGGGAGGGAGAGCCTGACAGGCAGCCACTGGACTTTTCAGGGGAAGGGGTCGCCACACCTTGGAGAACCCCGTCCAGTCCTGGTTGGTGTCACTGACTCACGAGTGGGAGTGGCAGCGAGGCTCAGGAGGGATGGAAGTGGTGGGGAGGCAGGTTGGGGCGGGGGAGGCGTCTCTGCATCTGGACCCTCCACCAGCGTTTCCCCTGGCGTGTGGGCAGCTGCTGTGGGGGAATAGCCGGCTGAGCCTAACTTTGAGGAGATAATGCACTCTGGTGACCACGGAACCACTGGGAGGGAGAAAGGGGTGGGGTGCCCTACGTTAGTGGGAGTGCAGGCACAGAGCTTTCGCCCACGTTGGCTTCTTCTCCAGGGCCTTTTGGACATCAGGCCTCCATGGGAGAAAGGGGTGGGGTGCCCTACGTTAGTGGGAGTGCAGGCACAGAGCTTTCGCCCACGTAGGCTTCTTCTCCAGGGCCTTTTGGACATCAGGCCTCCATCAGGCATCCTGGGGGCACCATCCTCCCACAGCACAGCTGGTGACCATTGGAGACTGAGGTCCTGGAGCAAGGTGGCTGGGCTTTCGGTTATTCATACAACACATATTTGGGGGACCTCTACCGGGTACCATTTACTGTTCTAGGGGGATACGGCAGAGAACTAAGCAAGAAGCTTAGTTTCTAGCATAGGCCCAGAAATTCAGAAGGCACAAAACGTGCTGGCTGAGTGTGGCAGAACCAGCAGGGACCATGCAGCTCACCCAGTGCCGAGAAAGCAGCCACAGCTGGAAGATAGGTGGGTGCTGGTTTCTTTAGAAGCACAGAACACGGCCCTCAGGTCCCTGCCCACAAGGGGTCTTACCTGTGAGGAGGCTGAAGGGGTAAGGAAGGCTTTCCAGGAGAGGATGTTATAGGGCTGGCAGGTTTCAGGTACTTCCTCGATGGGTCTCCTAGGTGGGTGGCTCTGGCCTCCCCTCAACCCTGTGTGTGTGCAGAGGAGCATGGGGCAGGTTCATGCTGTATCTCGGCCTCCTTCCTCAGAAAAAGTTAACGCAGATAAAGACTAATCCGGAAAGTTTATATTTGTGGAAATGACTTTATGTTCCAAAATTACCAAGAGGAACTTTTGCATGATCCAAAACCTGGTTTTTAGGGTTTTTGTTTTCAAAGATGGTTGGGCTTCTTTGGGGCCGGTGATTGCTGCCTTGTACAAGGATTTTGTTTCTTTGTGATTATGGGACAACCACAGGGCATGCAGTAGGATTCAGAGTCTGCCTGAGCCTTGGAGCTTGCAGCTGTTGCTTTCCTGCTCTGGGCCCTAGGTGGCAAAGACACTGCCTCTTCTGCCATTTGTGGGGAACATCCGGGGGTAAATGTTTAGGGCCACAGACTCTAAGGGGCACTGTAGCTTGCAGCTGTTGCTTTCCTGCTCTGGGCCCTAGGTGGCAAAGACACTGCCTCTTCTGCCAATTGTGGGGAACATCCGGGGGTAAATGTTTAGGGCCACAGACTCTAAGGGGCACTGTGTGAAGATATGTCAGCTCACGTTGTCTAAAAATTGTTTGGGAGGACCCCTAGATACCTGTTACCCTGGAGAGGTATGTGCCTGTGAACATTGCCACCTGTCGGTGGACGACCGCAAAGCACCATTGAATCTCCACACTCCAACCAAATCCCAAGCCAGGTATGTGATCGTTTGATGTTTTGAGAATTTCTGTTGTATGCTTATGTCCTAGAACACATCACCTCTAGCGAGCCTTCACAGTGACTCAGAGGACTCTGCTGTCTTCAGCGCGTCCTGAAGTAGCTCTTTAACATCTTAGCCTCGAAAGTGTCTAGGGTGATCTTAGGTGCTCCAGGTTCCTGGAAGGTGTCTTTCTCAGTCGTTGTGGGTTAGGGCTTTCCCAGCTGTACCCACATCTGGGAAGCATGACTGGCCAAATTGTTGTGCTCATCAGCCATCTGGGAGGGCCACCTCATGGCCTGGGAGCCTCCTGCTGTCCTCGGACAGGCCCTCTGGTCTTGGCCTTGCCTTGGCCTGTACTCGACAATGTCTTCATACTTTCCCCTAATCAATCTTGGCCCATTCTCGGTGGTATCTTGGTACTTTCCTCTAATTGATCTTGCAGGCCTGCCTTCCTGCCCACTCAGCATAATGAATGTGGTCATCTCTCGAGAGAAACTGACAACTGGGTGTTTTCCACTCATGGTTGCAGGGAGCCAGCTGTCCTCAAGCCCTCTTGTTGAGCAACTGAAGTCCCAGGATTTACAGCAGCTCTAATCCTGTGCCCGATCACGGGATCTAAGCCTTCTCGAGTGTCTGCCCAGGCACCTGGGAGGTGGAGGAAGAGCCATTGCGCAGATCTGGCATCCTGGCAGGACAAAGATGTGCGCCTTTTAGAGTCTTTTCTATGCTACCCTGGGCAGCACAGATGTGTGGACACGGTGCTGTGTATGGGACAAGGACAATATCTTCGTCATATAGATTGTACTTTCCTGTAGCATTTGATTTCAGCAGTTCCAAAATCTGTCCTGCTGCAAGACTCTTGTGCCTGGGTGCCCTTTCTCTGGGTCCCTAACCTTCTGCCTTCCTCCCTGCCTTGGTAGGACAGAGCTGGGTCCTCCTTGTTTCTAGTTCTGCTTCCCCAAGGCCAAGGAGGTGCTGGGCACTCAGTGACTGCTTGAACAACAGTGTGAACATTTACCTCAAGGGTCAATGAGTTACCTTTATTTTTCAGGTAATCCTTGTGTTTTTAGGAAAATGGAAAGGGTGGTGCTCCCTGTCAAGGTTGGTAAATGATCAGAGCTGCCCTGGGCCTCCAGGAGTGGGACTTGGTTGGCCTCTCAGAAAACTACAGGAAGATCATTGTGTTGCAGAAAGTAATATTAAAGAAACCAGAGTTGAAGTCATTTTTAAGACATGGGGAAAAGGCTTTCAAGTTTTAATTTTAACTTGTGTTAGTAGTATGACCATATTTTTGTGTGCTCCAGAGCGCAGTACTGGTGGGACACATGTGGGAGCTCAGCCCCCTGCCCCACCGTGTTGATTCCTCACCTCCTGCCTGTGAATCAGTGCCTGTGCTGTCGGCACTGTCGGGGGAGGCTTGGGGTGGGAGGACACCTGAGGAGTTGGAGGTAAAGCCCACCAGCCTTCTCTTGCTGGCCTATGTGTGGCGTGGCAGCATTGTAGGGGCCCTGAAGTGCAGGCGCAGTTGGGAGGTGCAGACAGGTGACTGGGCCTGTGTGGAGACAAGCCTTTTCCTCTTTGTGCTGCTGATCTTTTGCAGAACGTGGGGTCAGCATGTCCTCACGTTGATTTAGCTTTTGAGTCTCCACTCTGCATCTGATGCAGGTTTGGTAGGCTGCTGTCTGTTTCACTATCTCTTCATTAGGCTGGGGCTCCCTCCTGCCTCTGTCTCCTACAGACACGTGCCCAGAGTGAGGGCCCTTCAGGTGGGACAGCCATGCAGTCCCAAGGCTGGGCCTACAAAGGTCCTGTTAACTTATGTGTTGATGGCCTCCCTGGTGACAGGCTCCGGCTCCTGGTGCCCTGGCTCCAGCTAGGCAGAGCCCCACTGCCGTGCACCCTGCACACTGTTGGGTCAGTCTGCCGTGAGCTCAGGTTTGGGTGTCTGGGGCCCCTTAACCCTGTCACATCTCTTCAGGAATGTGCACATTTTGAGCAGTTCCCTTTTGTGTATGACAACTGTAGGGGGATAGCAGCCTGCTCCTCATGCTCCCTTCTCAGTTTGGTCTCTGGGTGGCGCCTTCCAGAAGCACAGCTGTACTGGCTCCTGACCTTGCACCCTTAATGGTGGTTTCATAACTCTTTGGAGTTGTTATTTTATTTTCAATTGCCGTACAGTAAATATGACTTCGTAGGGATGAACACAAGCTTTAACTCGTTGCAGATTCCTGTAGCCAGCATCACAGTTGGGGTGCGGAGCAGCTCCATCTGGGCACCCCTTGCGCTGCTCCATGGCAGTCCCGTCCTCCCTCTGCCCCGCCTCTGACCTGCTCACTTTAGCTCGTCCTTTTGAGATGCCACAGCAGGAGTGCCCAAAGCTGGCTTCTCTTGCCCAGCCAGTCTGGGGTTTGTGCTGTTGGCATGTCTTTTTTATCGCTGGACAATTCCTTGTGTGACAATCTGTCTTTTGGTTGGTGTGTTTAGGTCATTTACACTTAATTATTGATATGTTTGTGTTTAGGTCTACCATTTTTTCCTGTTTCTCTGCTCTGTTTTCCTTTCCTCTTTTCTGCCACCTTTTGGGTTACATGAACTTCTTTTAGTGCATATTCCACTTCATTTGAGGTATTGTCTCCTTGATTATGTCTCCATGTGCTGTTCTGAGCAGTTGCTCTGGAGGTTGCTGTGAGCACGCCTAACCTTTCCTGTCTCAACACCATGCTTTTGCCTCACTGATCCCTTTGGCTGTGGTGGTCCCATCAGAAAATGAGAGTTTTTGGTTTCAGTGGTGAACTGTGTCATGTTTTCCAGAGGAGAATCATTCACATTATTTGCTCTCTGCAGCTCATCCCTGATTGCTGGTGCTCTGCGAACGTTTCCCCATGTCTGAGAGGGACTCCAGCAGATTTATAGAGCAGGTCTGCTGGCAGCAGGGTCTCTCAGTGCCTCTTCATCTGAGAATGTTTCATTCCTGAAGGCTTACTTTCTGTCCTGAATGTGGAATCCACTTCCCCTGGCCTCCATGTTGTCCAATGAGAAACCCGAGTTTGGGTTTGGTGTCTGGTGACTCGGCGTTTGCATCTGGACTTTCCTTGAAGTCCTGTGAAAAGAAGCTGATGAACTTGTGTGCTTTTGGGGGCCTCAAGGGGCAGTTCCAATAGGATTTCATTTCTGACTTCTTGCCTCTGAAAACGCTCCCCAGAGCAGGCAGGGTCTGCATGGGCAGAACTCCATATTTCTGGGTGTTTCATCTTGTGGGATGAGCCCCTGCCCCTTCAGTCAGGTGTGAGGAGCCTGCCCTGGGGTAGGTGGCAGTTCTGAAGCACAGAGACCATCTAATGCTCCCCCCACCCCCCACTTTACAGACAGGAGACTCTGGGACAGAACTCAGGTCCACCACTGGTGAACTATGCCCTACCCAGGCAGGTGTGTCTGGACAGGCCTGGAGTGGATACGGCTGGCTTGGAGCACTTGTGCTGGGTCACACTGGACCGTCTGTGTTCCATGTCCTGTCCGATCTGCCAGCTGACCCTGTTGGCCATATCTTCTGGACCGATCCCGAGTCCAGCTGTCCCACCTCCTGCTGTAGGCTTGTCTTGTCGCAGCTCCCTGCTGTGGTCCTTATCCCTATGCATCCTCCTCAGCTGCAAAGTGGCCTCTTAAAGGTCCCTGCAGCACTTTTGCTCAGCCCCAGCCAAGTCTACACCCTCATCGGGCAGGACCCCCCCTTGCTCCAGCCACCAGTCTTCGCAGCTGCTCAGACCAAGGCTGCTCCTGTCTCGATGATAATTAATGTAATTATTTGCACATTTGTTGCTGGTCTGGAAGTGTGTCACCAGGTGTCCCCAAAGCCTCCTGTCTCTGTCTGCCCAAGTGTCTCTGAGTTAGGCCCTCCCTAATCACCTGCACCCTGCACTCCTGTCTCTTATTTTTCCCTATAACACGTAGGGTTTCTTAACCCTCCTGTGTTCGAATGAAAGCTCAGGAGTAGGTTTTGGGGTTTTGTTCTGTGTGTGGCAGAGGCAAGTGCTCTGGGAATGGCTTTGGTTGAATGATTGGTCCCACCTGCCGTATTTGTCCGGCAGTCCCACCACCACCATGCTGTACAACCTTCACAGTGTTGTTCACCAGCTCTGACCTTCCTCATGGGCACCAGGGCACGGACAGTGTGAAGCCGCTGCACTGGCCCCAGGCCCTCACTCAGCCGGGGCTGCTGTGCTTGTCATCACTAACTTTGTGGCCTAAACATTCTCAATTCCTCTTATTCATCTTCTTACTAAATCTGATGTCGCCTGTGGGGAGGAAAGGGTGGGCCCATGTCCCCTCCAGCTTCACAGAGGGGCAGGTGGGGACTCCTGGGCCCAAATCCCTTCAAGGGCCCTCTCCAGGAAGACGTGCTTTGTAAGCTCAGACAAATGTTCAGCAGGGAATGAGTTTCTGGGTCACTAAATCCAGGGAATCCTAGGAATGAAGATCTAAAATAGGACCTTCCAAAGTAGTTTCTGTGCTGTAATTATTGATACATCTCTCAGTACTGAAATGTTCCACTAAACAGAGTTCAGCCGAAAGAAAGACTGAGGTTCCCTCATGGGTTAGGACTCAACTCTGAATATGTGTGAAGCAAAAGGTGGCGGATGGCGAAGGAGGAGGTCTTGTTCACCTCCAGCTGCCTTATGAGCCTGACACCGCGATGCAGTGGGGGAGCTCACTGCTCTGCTTTCTTCACTTGGGGCTTGTTCACTGAAACACGACTGGTATTCTTCATAAAGAAAACAAATTTAGTTGAAGGGCTTTAAAACGATGCCTGAGTAAGTGGGGAGATAGTCCCTGTCTCGTGAACGAGAACCCTCAGCTAACCCTTGAACAATGTGGGGTTAGGGGTGCCAACCGCACATGGATGAAAATTCACTCATAACTTTTGACTCCCCAAAAACTTAACCACTAATAGCCTACTGTTGAGTGGAAGCCTTGCCTATAACATAAGCAGGCGATTAACACAGAGTTTGTATGTTATGTTTGTTGTCTACTGCAGTCTTACAATAAAGTAAGCTAGAGAAAAGAAAATGTTAGTAACGAAATCATGAGAAAGGGAAAAACCGTGAGAGATCACCTTTTACTGTGATATGCAAATTACTGGAGGGATGTGCCTACGTAGAGGTGATTAGCGTTACTTGGCATTTTCAGCCCATACGTACAATGAGCTCACTGTGGTGATGGCAGGAGGCGGCTGTGAAGTTGCTACCGCAGTGCAGCGTGTGCTGCGGTTAGGTTCACGCGGTTGTGACAATACTGCATCTTTACATGTGTCCACATTTCTCCCAACTGCGAATGGTGCAATTAAATGTTCGTGTGAATAAGTCTTGATAAATTTTCACTCTTTATAATTTGTGTATATTTTATGGTTATAAATGATAAAGTAGACTAGCGTTGGCATGTATTTTATGGACTCATGCCATACCTAACTTTTACTTAATTTTTTTGATTTTTCTAAGCTATGCAGTTCAAGTTTTTCCAAATTGTTGCAAATCTCCAAAAAATTTTCCAACATATTTATTGGAAAAAATTTGCATCTGAAAAAATTTGCATCTGAGTGGACTGCACAGTTCAGACCCATTGTTGTTCACGAGTCAACCGTGTCTGTCACATATTATTTCTTCTCACACTAATTTATAAGTTCACTTCCTATCAAACTCCTAATGGAGTTATTTGTGGCAACTTGCCAAGCTGATGTTAAAATTAATATGCATGATATATTTATTATGTATAAATTTTAAAAGTAAATTTAAAAAATCAGTAGCACAAGTAAACGTGCAAGAATAATCGGGATTAAAAAATAAGAGCACAGTCAACCAGGTGTGAAGGTGGATTCGAATTGGGGTACGATTGCACTTGGTAGCTCCACATGCTGTCAGCTGCCAGTGGTGCCTGATGGACTCCTGCATCCTTGCACCGCTGCGCTCGGCGCAGGAAGCTCCTCCCTGAGAGTGTCTGCATCCCACCCATCTGCTCTTCATGGGTGTAAACGCGTCCTCCGAGTTTCACATGTGTGGAAGCAGTGGGTGGGTCTCTTTTGGCCCGAATCTGTCAGCATGTTTCTGAGACGTGTTTGCGCTGTGACTGTGGTTAGCAGCACATCCTCTCCCCTGCTGAGCCGCCCACCATGGTGCAGGTGGACTGCAGTTTGTTCCTGCACTGGTAGATCCTTGGTTTGTTTCCAGTGTTAGATTCTTTAAGTAGGTGTCCACATGTAAGTCTTGAATGGATCTGTGTTTTCATCTCTCCTGAGTGAATATCTTGGAGTAAATGGTTGTGTTGGATGGTGGATGTATGTTCAACTTGTTAAGAATCTGCCAAACTGTCCTTCAGAGTGGCTGTGCCATCTGCAGTCCCACCTGCAGGGCACGAGTGCTGTAATTGCTTTGCATCCTCCTCAGCACTCAGTGTCATCAGTCTTTAATTTCAGCCATTCTAGTGGACGTGTGATGTGTACTGGTGTCTTATGGTGGTTTCAGTTGGTTTTTGTGGTGACCCGTGATGCTCCACATTTCTTCATGTGTTTATTGGCTATTTGTAAAATTATTTTCCTTGTGAAGCGTCTGTTCAGTTTGTTACCCGTTTTTTTCGTTAGTTGAGTTGTAAGAGTTCTTTATGTATTTTGGATACAAGTCCTTTGTCAGGCATTTGTGTTGTGAATATTTTCTCCCAGCTTGTGGCTTGCTTTTTTATTGTTTTAGGGTCCAACTCTGGTTTGTAGTAATCTATGTTTCCCGGAGGCAAGTCCTGAGCTGCACGCTTTACACGTGTCGTTCACTCATCGTCTCGGCATCCTCAGAGGTCAGCAGTGCCCGTTTAGAGATGAGGAAACAGAGGCAAGCAGGGGTTTCATCATTTCTGCAAGGACTCACTGCTCATTTGGATGTAAGAACTGGCTCTCTGACTCCATTCACAGGCAGTTGTTAAAATGAGAAGGGGGTCTCAGGCGAGTGTGACACAGCCAGCAGTCAGGGGCCCACCGGTCTTGTGGTTCTGGTGCCTGTGAGGCGTGTCCACTGGGTGGGGGGAATGGCAGGGCACAGATGCCAGAGGGAGAGAGCCTGACTCCTTCCCCCCACATCAGGGCACTGATGGCTAAGCCGGAGCGGGGCGGCTTGAAGACCACACTTCCCTCTAGCCGGGCAGTGATCACTCCATCTGACCCTCTCAGCAAGTGGCACTACTGGGGATGCGTGCCCTGCTCAGTTTTGATCCTAGTGTTCCTTTCTCTCAGCTGGTGTTTTCTCAGCTGACATCCTTGGGAATCTCTCACATGTGGTCACTTCATGAACTGAAAGGCTGGTCATCTCAGTGCAGTCTTGCTCAATGCGTGCCCTGCTCAGTTTTGATCCTAGTGTTCCTTTCTCTCAGCTGGTGTTTTCTCAGCTGTCATCCTTGGGAATCTCTCACATGTGGTCACTTCATGAACTGAAAGGCTGGTCATCTCAGTGCAGTCTTGCTCAGTGAAAAGTCCAGTGTCTCTTACTGCCTGGTCACTTGAACGACAGACACCTGCTCTGATGCCAGCACTGGGCATGTCCTCCTGGCCTCTGAGCAGCGCCTTCAGCTCCCTGGAGTACTGGGCTCTTCTCGTCCCACCCCTGTGGGCATCCCAGCCCTGACTGACCAGCGTGTGCGACATCATATGGGAGCTCTCCTGCTGGGGACTCAGTCTGCTGTTCTTTGGGAGTTGGAGAGCAAAGTTAGCTCTCTCCTTCTTTCAGAGACAATGCTGCTGCATGTTGCTGAGTGTTTTAACAATGTTGTCTGTACTATGACATGATGCTTGTGTGTTTTTGGGTTTCAGGCGAGCCCACACCTTGACTGTGCTGTTCATACTTACTTGTGTGCTTGGCTATGTGACTCTGCTGGAAGAAACACCTCAAGACACAGCCTACAACACAAAGAGGTAACTGGGCCCACCCTAGCCTTGCTTTCTGAAACTGGGCACACTGGTGCCTGTTGTGGTTGGCATGGTGTTCCTATAGTATTCAAGCTGGCAGGGCTCAGGAGCTTTTGCCAGCATCCCTTGGAAGGCCAGCAAGGGCCTCACCCCACCCCACCCCCTCAAATGTGTCTGAGGTGCCTGACTGCAGGGCTGCCTTTTGGAGCCGTGTGGCACTCCTGGCCCATGGACTGGTTAGTGCCTGTGCAGCCTGTCACCGGGACCCTGGAGCATGTGGTGTCTCCCGGGCACCCTGCAGCTTGCGCCGCATTCATGGTGCGTTTCATGTGTTGAGAGACCAGAACGTGCTGTGGCAGCCTGTGCTGGTAGAGCCACTGAGTTGGGCATCTCAGGCTATACAGGGTTTCTTGGCAGCTCAGGGTGGTTCCCTGCTGGCTGCATGGTTCTTCTACACTGGTGCTGATGCTGACACTTGAAAATTCAAACCACCTTAAGACATCAGGTGATGGTCTGATGACAACCTGTGATCTCACTGCCACAGGTCAGGAAGTGAGTGACCTATCTTTTCAGGGTCATCTCCAAAGACAGGCTCCTCACTAGGCTTGCCCTCACCTGAATTCCGTGGATTCTGAGGCTGGCCTCAGGAGTGTGCACAGAAGATGAGCTGGTTTAAGTTTCCTGCACTTAGCTGACCCATCTCCCTCGCTGCGCTTCCAATCCTTGAGCCAGGGTGTTCACCAAGGCTGCTTTCTGGCCAGCAAGGCCATGGCTGCCGTCAGGCCAGGGCCCCACTTGCTCAGGTGGGACGGCCATAGAGGGGCCCAGAGACCAACACTGGTGGGACAGAGGCAGAGGCGGCGCTGGAGGCCTATCGGTGCCCGGCCACAAGTCGCTGTGCTGGGTGGGGGCCCTTGCAGAACCTCTGCTGTCCAGACAGCTCTCTGGGTCAGCACTTGGTTTTTGTGAAATGAGGATCTTCGTGTTGTGTGAGAGTTAGACGGGGTTTGGGTGGGTAGGTGTGAGCCCCCTTATGCTCCCCTGGGAGGGCGGCCCTGAGCTGGGAAGTGCGCCCAGCCTCCTGTCCGTGTGGGGTGCTTTAGAGCCACCCACAGGAGCCCTGGTGACTGAGCTTGTTTCCTTGGTGCAACTGGGCAGGCATTTCTGCTTAGAAATCACTGTTAGCGGCCTAGGCTCTGGCTCCACAGCCTGCTCCCCATGGAGCTCACGCCCTTGAGACACAGGCAGCTGCTCCCTTCTTGGGTCTTCCTGGGTCTCCATGCTCTGTGAGTACCCCCGCTGCCCCTTTTTGACGAGCCTGCATTCCCGTTTGCTCCCAGGCCCACCGGCCTGTGCTGAGCCCCCAGCTGCTCTCCTCATCCGTCAGGCCTGGCTCTTTCTTTCTCCCTTTCTCAGGTGGGTCCCTTGGGCCCCGAGCTCTGTGCTGACTCACCCTTGGAGCCCACAGACAGGGTGTGCACTGAACAGTTAATGTCCAGAGTAGGTGAGCTGTGGCTCGGGCTGGACCTCTCACATCTGCTTTCGCTGCCCGGGACACTGGGTCGGCATGTGTGGAGGCAGAGGGGCTGCTGGCAGGAGCCCGTGTTTGCCTAGAGAGAATTTCGAAGTAGAACTACGTCTTTCCTGTGACTTCATCTGTCAGCATGTGAGTGTGGAAGGTCTGCGGAATTGGCTGGGCACAGTGAGCAGGGAGGACCGAGAAGCAGTATGTGGTCATGCTCAGGAGGTGCCCCACATGCAAAGCCAGTCCGGCCAGGGCTGAATGACCCAGTGTCACAGGCAGGAGCTGTTGCAGGGAAGGGCGTGCCCCACCCTGGACAAGCAGGCTGTGCGGGATGCCCTGGGAGTGTGCCCTGCCCTTGAGTCCTGGGTCCCATTGTCAACACTGGGTGGCCCGAATTCAGAGGGGACAAGGCCTAATCAGACCCCCGAGCCTCAGCCGTGCCCCTTACACTGCTGCCTCTCCCAAGCTCTCTTCACAGTTGAGAGGGCGATCCTCCTCCCATCCTGCCCTCTCCAGCAGGGAGCCCTGCACATGTCCAGTGAAAGAGAGGGCCAGGGTAGGGACTCAAGGGACTGCCAGGCACTTTTTTCCTATGAACTTCTGCGTTTTGAGGACACTAGACATCTTCCTAGTTCACGTGCCCTGATTCCTGCAACCCTCTTTGAGAGCACAAAAGGAGCCGCCCCTCCTGGCCCCATAATTCTGTTGGTGGCACCTGGATCCTGCTCCTGGCTCCTCCCTGACACTGCACGGTTCTGCCGCTTCTTCCAGTGAAGTTCTCGTGGGTGCGTCTGTCCTGGGTCCATTCTCACCACCCTGTGAACTCGCACTGCATGCAGCAGGAGCCACATGTCAGCTGGTGCTGGGGCTGTGGTACCCTGAGGGGCCTGGGCGGGGAGGCTGCTAGAGCTGGTTTATTTTCACCACGTGAGAGCTTTTTGATGTCCTTGAGGTTTCATATATAGTGAAGACCTTACCCTCATATTAAAAGATTGATATTTACATTTTTAAAGTTAAAAATTCAGCAAACTGGTTTGTTTTCCTGCAGCTTTCACTTTCAGCATTGTTTTTGTGTATCTGGCAGGTTCTGTCACTTTGGGGGGATTGGTTTTGTTTTCCTTCTCAAATCAATTTTATGGACATGTAATTTAAAATATTCCTAATTAAAGTATACAGCTCAATGAGTTTTCACAACTACATACACCTGTGTGCCCACCACCAAGTGGAGATTTAGAACATTTTTATCGCCCCAAGTTCCCTCTGACCCCTGCCGTCAGATCTGCACATGCCGGCCCTGGAGCCAAGAGTCACCACCAGGGATCCCTTTCGCCTGTTCCTGCTTCAAATGAATGGGGTCGCTCTGCACGTTCTTCTGGTGCTGGCTCCTTCCACCAGACCGCATTTTTGTGACGTGTTGCTGTCCGTCAGTGGTGGTTTATTGCTGGGGAGGACTGTACTGCCTGGATGTGCCACAGGTCACCAGCCCATTTATCTGTGGGTGACCATGGGGGAGATGCCAGTTTTTCTCACCAACACATTTAAGGGGCCGTTAGTGAATATTTTATTCCATTTACTGATTTAGTAAATGAAATCTCTTTACATATTTTAGTCATGTAAAATACATATAAATACATAAGTATACATTTAAAATACATGTAAGGGCCGGCCCGTGGCTCACTCAGGAGAGTGTGGTGCTGATAACACCAAGGCCATGGGTTCGGATCCCTATTTAGGGATGGCCGGTTCGCTCACTGGGTGAGTGTGGTGCTGACAACACCAAGTCAAGGGTTAAGATCCCCTTACCCGGTCATCTTTTTAAAATAAATAAATAAATATAAAATAAAATACATGTAAAATGATAATACATGTAAGTATATTCATAGTACCAAAGAACAAAGCTGGAGGGCTGACGGGTGTCATCTCAACCTACTGTAAAGCTACAGCAATCAAGACAATGTGATGCTGACAGAAAATAGATCAATGGACAGATAGGGAGCCCAGTAGACCCACAAAAACATCGTCAACTGGACTTTGACAAAGGAGTGAAGGCAGTCCAGTGGGGAAAGGACAGTCTTTGCCCCAAGTGAAGCTGGAACAACTGGACATCCACATGCAAAAATAAATCTAGACACAGACCTCACACTTTACAAAATTAATTCACAGGCAGGCCTGAATGGAAAACTATAAAATTTCTTGAAGAAAACATAGGAGAAAATCTGGTGACCTTGGGTTTGGTGATGACTTTTTAGATACAACACTAATAGCACGATCCATGAAAGAAAAAAGTTGGTAGGTTGGACTTCATTATGGTTAAAACTTTTGCTTTGCAAAAGACACTGTTAACAAGAATGAAAAGATAAGTTACAGGTTATAGAAAATATTTGCAGAACATGTATCTGATAAGGGATGCATTCAAATATGCAAAGAACTCTTAAAGCTCAATAATAAGAAAAGAAACACCGTAATTAAAAACTGGGCAAACAGGGCTGGCTGGTTAGAGCACAGTGTTGTAACCCCAAGGTCATGGGTTCAGATCCTCATACTGGCCAGCTGTCCAAAAAAAATACTGGGCAAATAATCTAAACAGATTCCACATCAGAGAAGACATACAGTTGGCAAATAGCACACAGAAAGGTGCTCAGCATCACTTGTCATCAGGGAGTTTCACATTGAAAACAGTGAGATGCTACTGCACACCCGTCAGAATGGCTGACATTTGAAGAACTGTCAGCACCGGATGCTGGCAGGGACTCAGAGCAGCAGGAACTACCACTCATTGCCAATGCGCCACAGAATGGTGTGGCAATGCTGGAAGACAGGCTGGCAGTCTCTTATGGAACCAAACATACTCTTAGTATGTGATCAGGCAGTCGCATTTCTAAGTATCCAAAAACCTGCACGTGACTGTTTATAGCAGCTTTATTTATAACCCCTCAAAATTGCAAGGAGCCGAGATGTCCGTTAGTAAGGGAGTGGGTGAATGAGTGTGCTCTGTCAGACGTGGAGTACCTCAGTGAAGGAGCCAGTGAAGGGCTGCATATCACATGGTGGCACTCTGGGAAAGGCGAGATTTCGTGGGGATAAAAATGTCAGTGGTTTCCAGGGGAAGGAGAGGATGAGCAGGTGGAGCCCAGGGCATTTTTGCAGTAGTGAGATTGCTCTGATGGTGGACACAGGACACTGCATTTGTCCAGAACCATAGAAGGGACAACACAAAGATAAACCTTAATGTGTGCAAATTAAACTGATTTAGGAGGTCGGGGAAGGCAGGCAGGCAGACTGGGACCAGGGATTCTAACCCTGTTACAGAAGAGACCTTCCCGGAGGGGCCAGGGAGGAGGTGCTAAGCAGCTCGGAAACCGAGTGACATCTGTAAAACAGAAGCCACAGGAACTGCGTGGAGCACTGCACTCTAGACAGTGTATCCCCTATGCCCTGGGTTCCCGTTCTGTTACTGCTGGATGTTGTATGCTCTTAAGGCGGGTGATGGTGCAGGGAGACTCACTGTTGGAGGGGAGCATACAGGTCATCAAGGGGAGGGGGCTAGAGCCGTCCGAGAGGCTGGGGTATGGTTGGAGACATCACTAAGAACTCATGTCCAACGCGATATTGTACAGAGGGTTACAGATGGGGATGTTTATAATGTGTGTGTGCACACATTGGTTCATATACACGTACATCTTGTTGCTCTGTGAGCTGAAAGGGCTTAGAACCAACTGTACTCCAGCAGCCCCGAGCACACCTAGTGCCCAGGTTAGGGTCCTAATATTCTCCAGCAGAATCACCCAGGCTCCTTGGAGAAGTGGCTCATTCTAGGAACGGGGCAGGAAGTGTCGGCGATGAGCCTGGAGCCTCTCGTAGTGCCACAAAGTCAGGAAGTGCTCAGAAAAACAAATCGGAGCCCCACAGTGATGGGGTTATGTCAAAGGACACAGGAGCCAACAGAGAGCTCCCAGTGGCCAAAGCTGGAGCAATCTGAGCAACAAAACAGTGTTGGAATATAACCCAAAGTATAAAATAAGTATTCATGAGTCCATGCCAATATATGTGGTTAAACAAGTGAGTGGGGAAAAGAGATGAATCTCCCCTGCAGGAGAACACCACACAGACTGTGCAGATTCTGCACCTAAAGGGAGGCAGCATGTGACTCCCTGTCCCTACTGTGTGCTGTGCAGTGTGGACAGGGCTGGGGGATGGGGTCACAGTGGAGAAACCTGCCCGGCACAGCTCAGCCAGACACTCAAGGTCAGCGTCTACATCGTAAGTCCGGTGACAGTGCAGACCCGGGACGTGATGTGATGACAGTGCTTTACCTCTGTGGTTTCCTCCCCAACCTGCAACCCCAGTCTAATCATGAGAAAAACGGCAGACACGTCTCAACAGAGGGACATCCTGCAATGTATGGGACCAGACTCCTCGAAAGTGTCCAGCTCATCAAAAACAAGGAGAGTCTGGGAAACTGTCACAGCCAAGAGGAGCCTAAGGAGACGTGATGACTAAATGTCACGTGGTGTCCTGCATGGGTTGTGGGACAGGAAAAGGACAGCAGGGGAAACAGGAAATCCAAATCAAGCATGGACCTTAGTTGTTAATAATGTATCAATCCTGGCTTTTTTTTTTTTTTTTCCTTTTTGTCTTTTTTCGTGACCGGTAACGGGATCGCAACCCTCAGTGTCGCGCCTGTACCGCAACCGGCAACGGGATCGCAACCCTCGGTGCTGCGCCCACACCGCGCTCAGCCAGTGAGCGGACCGGTCTCAATATGGGATCGGAGCCCTCGGCAGGCGTGCCGCCGCGCTCCCAAGTGGCGCACTCTACCAGTGCGCCACCAGGCCGGCCCAATCCTGGCTTATTAATTGTGACAGATGCCCCTACTAAGATGGGGGTATAGGGACAGCTGGGTGCGTGATCTGTGGGAAGTCTGTGCCATCTTCATGATAATTCTGTAAATCTAAAACTTTTCTAAAAGTTTACTTTAGAGGTGTTTCAGAGTAACTTTCTTTGCCCTACTGATAAACCTTCCCAAGTACTTAAATAATTCTTACAAACTATTCTTACACAGTCATCGTAAATAAGTCGGTCCCTGGGCCGCATGCTGTGTGTTGAAGCCACAAGGCTGACCTGGTGCTCTGGACACCAGGCAGTGCATGGCAACCCCATGTGGCCATGGCATGCTGTCCAGCTGGGGCGGATGTGGCACAGCATCGTCACTCAGGGACATGGGCAGTGGCTCCCTTGGTACCTGTGTCCCTCTTTTCATTTCTCTCCTTTCTAGGCTGTGGGAAAGTATTTACTGCCGTTCCACCTAACATCACAGCCCTCTTCCACATACCGTGGAAGGACAGCCACGTTGGGGCCTGTGTTTGGCTCTAGGAGGCCCCACGAGGTACTTTCACATCTCCTGTGGCGAGCTGTGCTGTAGGCTGTCTGTCTCCCACCCCTCAGCCTCCTGCTGCCTGGAGGCTGGTCCAAAAACTCACATGTGCCCTTGGGGGGTTGGGACATAAACGTCCTGCCATGGATGAGCCCCTCGTCCTGGCTGCATGAAGGGCAGCAGGCAGCCCTTTTGTGTGCCCCAGTCCTGAAAGGCTCAGGCTGGCCATCCCAGCAGGGCTCAGTCTCACCTGCATCTGCTTGGGGCTTTCAAGACCCAGGTGTTCTTGGCAGGCAGAGGAGAATTTCAGACTGAAAGTTGTTGCTAGATGTTTTTTAAGAGTGCTTTTGTAGACTCTCTGTGACCCATCTGTCCTGGCAGCCAAACGGATGTGTGTTTGTACGTAGCAGCTTCATTCACAGTAGCCACAACTTAGGGGCAGCAGAGTGTGTCAGTACCTTGTGGTATGACCGTCAACAGAAAGTCATTCAGTGCCAGGGGAGCAGGTGGTGCTACAGGCTGTGGCCAGTGTGTCCCTCAGACCCCTAATCCAGTGAGACCAAGCGGGACGGGCACATTCATGCACGTGCAGAGTAGCAGAGTGGGTGCATGGCCAGGGTGGGGGCTGTGGTGGTGAGCAGTGCTGTCTGCACATCCACTGACCCGTTCTCTGGCAGATGGTGGGACTCAGCTGGCCTTGTCCTACCTGCTACTTGGCCCCTCACTCCTGCCGGGGGCTGTGCTTCCATCTCGTGCACCTGTGATTTATGCATTTTATATGGTTGTAGCTACAGCACTTACATGTCCGTCTTCTTATGGACGACAGGAGCCCTGCTGGTGTTGGATGAGGTGACCTAATAGGATAGGAGAGTCTATAGGAACATCTACAGAGCCCCATGCTGTGGGAGCAGAAAGCTTTCTGAGCCTGACATCTTCCCATCATACATGGGCTTTAGTGAACCCTGCTTGTCTACGGAATTTTAGGGTTTTTTTTAAGTAAAGCACGTGTCTTAGTGGTGTAACTTTACAAGGCCTTCTCCTGAGAGGCAGTTGAGTCCCAGGTGGTGGAGTCACCTGGGCCCAGCAGACCAGCCTGCCCTGCCATGGACGCTGGCCCTGCCCCATCCCCCGGTGTCAGGGGCTGTCCCACGATGGGTGTCCTGGGGTCCCTGCTGCCTCCCACCTGGGAGATTTTTACACACACTGAGGGGCTGTTTGTTCTTTATTTACAGAGGTATTGTGGCCAGTATTTTGGTTTTCTTATGTTTTGGAGTCACACAAGCTAAAGACGGGCCATTTTCCAGACCTCATCCAGGTAACTCACCATTTCTTTTTCCATGTATGCCTCGTGGCAGTGCTGTTCTGAGCACCACTCTGTGTCTGTGCTGTTGAGTGTGAATGTCCTGTCCTTCCCACGGCTGCCACGGCCACTGTTCTCATAGCAGGGGCACAAGGGTGTGCAGTTGGTGCAGGGCTGTCCGCCGCTCCTCTTCTTTCAGCCTCTGGAGATTTCATCCAGACCCTCTCCAGTCCTGGTGCTCTGCGCCCTGCCCACCAGCTCTCCTGCCCTCTCTTCCTGCAGACCAGGCTGCACCCAGGGCCATTGGGTAGGGCTGGCATAGGCTCCAGCTGGGGGCCAGGGCGCCACCCGTCACTGCCGTTGAGTGGTTACTGTCATTCTCTGCCTCGGTTGCCCTGCCCCTGAAGTTATGGCAGTTCTAACAAATCCCTGGGGACCAGGCTAGTGCTCTGTCCCGGTCTCCTCCTGGTCACCTCTCAGCCCCAGCTGTGCCCCAGGGCTGAAGCCTCCCTCCCTAGGAGGGTGGCCCAGGCTGCTGTAGGTTGGTTGGAGTCCATGAAGGGTCACAACATAGTAATTAGAAACAAATTTCTTTTTTTTTTTTTTTGGTGGCTGGCCTGTTTGGGATCCAGGATCCGAACCCTTGACCTTGATGTTACAATACCACTCTCTAACCAAGTGAGCTAACTGGACAGCGCACATATTTCTTTTCTTTCTCAACAGGGCACATATTCCAGAAAATTTGGAAAATAGGGAAAATATTTTGAAATAAAAATAAAACCACTTGCAAAAAATAACCATTATTAATTTTTGACTTGCTTGTGTACTTAGACTTCTGTTTGCCTATACAAGGGGTCCTGACAAAGTTCATGAAAGGGTACTATCTTTTAATTCAGTTTTTCCACTAACCTTTCGAAACACCCTCGTACACGTATGTAGCCTCAAAAACATAGCAATAATACTATGTATTCATTAGTTCGTTTCTGTTGCTTATAACAGAATAATTTATAAAGAAACAAAATTTTTTCCTTACGGTTTGGAGGTTGGGAAGTCCAAAGTCCAGGGAACACATCTGGTGAGGACCTTTTGTGTGAGAACTCTACAGGGTCCTGAGGGACCAGGATGTCACATGATGAGAATGGGCTGAGCAAGAGAGAACTAAGCTTCTGACTTGCCTCCTTATAAACCCATCAGGACCACGCCCATGGCCACCCGGTAAACCATCATGGATCAATCCTCACGACTAATCACCTCCTAAGGTGATCTAATCACCTTTCAATTACGATTGGATTTCCCACCCTCTTAACACTGTTACACAGGAGATCATGTTTCCAACACATGAGCTTTTGGGGGACACGTGACGGATAGCATAAGCATACAGTGTGTTTTTCTTTTTCTTTTTTTGGCTGGTTGCTACAGTCATTGAAACCCAGACCTTGGCGCTACCAGCCCCATGCTCTGACCAATCAAGCTAGCTGGCCGGCTGAACGTAATTCTGTGTCACGCACGTTTCACTTTAGGTTTGGCCCAGCATCTCTCGTGCGTGCGCGTGCGTGCGTGTGTGCCTTTATTTTCTTTTTCTTTTGTTTTATCATTGAACAATGTAAACATTTTTTTGTGGCCCTTTACTAATTTCTTCCTAATCCCCTCTCTGCCTCCCCCTTTCCCACCTCTGGCATTTCCTTTATCTCCTTTTGAAAATTCAAGGAATTATTGCAATTGTTGTATCTTTCTTTCTTTCTGTTTCTTTTTTTTAAGCTCCCACTTACCAGTGAGGACATGCGGTATTCTCTCTCTGTGCCTGGCTTGTTTCACTTAGTACGATTTTTTCTAAGTTCATCCATGCTGCTGTGAATGGCAGAATTTCATTCTTTTTTAAGGCAGAGTGGTATTTCATTGAGTGCATATACCACATTTTCCTTATCCATAGTCATCTGTCAATGGACATTTAGGTTGGTTCCAACTCTTGGCTGTTGTAAACAGAGCTTCAATAAACATGGGGTGCGGGTGTCCCTTCAGCACGATGATTTCCTTTCCTCTGGGTGTGGGGGTGATATATATTGTAGAACCACCCTCTAGGGGAGATGTGTGCCTGAGGGTCAGTTAGTGCTGTGGTTATGAGGGAGGCTCTGAGCAGGGAGCCTCAGTGACCTGAGGGGGCTGGTGAGCCCCTACTTACGCTGGGTTTTGAGAAGGCCCCTGGGGTGCGCACTGGGCTGTGCAGCGTTGAGTGGCCTTCTCTATGGGCTCAGGCACCAGGGCACGTCCCGCCAGGCCTCAGATGATTTGGGCTGCTAACCAGAGCAACGGAAGAGTGAGTGGTGGTTTAAAAACTCCCAAATTGCTCCGTGAAGAACAAGGAGGCGTCGAGTGCTTGTCGGGTTGATCTGGAGGAGGAAGAGCTGCTGGAAGTTCATGTGCTTGTCCTCCATGAGAAACACATCGAATCCCTCCTGTGTGCTGGCATCGCCGGTCGCGGGGACAGACAGTGGGACAGAGGGCTTGGGTCGGACTGGTCAATGGGCAGCAGCTTGTCTTGGCATTTGGTCCCTGGGCACAGGGAGAGGCTCCTGGGAGGCCCTCAGCTCTGTCCAGTTCAGCAGTTGGATCTTCACGTCACCTGGTGGGGTGCAGGTTGTCTTGGTCTGAAGGATTTTGAAGCTTCTGGAAGCTCTTGCTGTGGTTTCTTTGCAGTGTGTGAGCATCACCCCAGCTCCCCCTGGGCGGGTTTGTCTTCTCCCTCTTGACGGAGGCATGCACGTGGTTTCTAAGTTTTAATTTTGAGCTCACCTCTACCCTTTTTCTTTCAGTTTTGTTGTCTTTGCATAAACTCTGTTTCTTTGCCAGTCTCTGATTTATTGACAAAGGAGCTTGTCCTAGAGCCAGCTTCTGTCCAGGTCTTTTTAACCTGGTGGCTGGCAGGGAACCCTCAAGCCGCTGCAGTCAGGATACACTTGAAGTGCACACGTGGAGAGCCCTCTGCAGCGCAGCTCTCTGAGGGAGCAACTCCAGAAAGGGATCCCTGCGGGCCCCTCCTGCCTTCCTCCTGCTCCCCTGGTTCTGGCCCAGGAATGCCCAGGCTCAGGCTGCCACAGCTGTCGCCACTAGCAATGGGGCCCCGTGAGAGGAGCAGAAGTGAGCTTCCCGGTGGCCCACGGGGAGCTGCTTTGTTTGGCTGCAGTTCCGACTGAGACGTGTTTGAGTCAAGTCGTGTCCCGTTAGGGGAGGCGGCCCCGCCCCCTTGGTCATGTTTTCATCTGCGGCTCCCTCCAGCAGCTGGAGTGGGTCAGAGCGT